CTCAGATAGCCGGTTCACTAACTGTAACGTTAAAGAAAATAAAACCAATCTCCATTCATAAATATGACTCCTTTTTTATAGGTCTTTGCTGAGGTTAACTTCACAACGACAGCCCAAACGCAGCACATAATAAACCCGCATACACCCAATACATAAAACACCGAAGTCAAACAGGTTAATTCAGTTCACCGTAACCTCCATGGCACCGCCGTTCAACATGTTGGACATGTACAGACCTGAACAGTGGCTCTCACTGATTTGTCACAGGGGTTTTTTTTTAAAAGCGTCCTTCACCGAGTAAACGAGTGTCCCGCGGGCTGTACAGCGTTAAATTGCCGCATTTTTGAATGGCGTTTGGCGAAGCGTTTTCTCCATATGGCACGCATCAGGGCTTTCCGCCCACCCACTCAAGCCTGCTGCAATGTCACAAATTACTCTGCGGAAACTTTCCAAATGTCACAACTACAACATATAACCACAGCAGAGCCGCTATTACCGGTAAGGATAGCCTAAACGAAAGTTAGCCAGTCGGTACCTAACGTGAAGAGAGCCCGCGGTAAGCAGTCAGTCGCTCGTGAGTGTGTGTGTGTGTGTGTGTGTGTGTGTGTCGTTATTAAACATAAAACATACCTTAAAACAGCCGAGGTAAACACGGTGTGTGGGCCTCTCCTCTCTGAGTGCGTACCGTCCAGATAGAGCAGCGTTAGCGGGGATATGTGTGTCAGTCCCTCCGCTGTGAGTGATAGTCAGTCAGTGACGGCTGTCTGTCTGCCACTAGGTACCGTACAGTAACTGAGCTAGAGCCGTGCCGGTCTCTCCTGACCCTCCCACCACTCCCAGTCCAGACCAGCGCTCCCACTGTGAACTCACTGTGGCTTCTCCCACACTGCTGCCTCAGCACAGGACTTCACCTCCTCTAGTGGTTCAGCGGCACTGTCACAGACACTTAGTCAAATCTCTGAGTGGCGTTGATATGAACAACTGACACTTTATGAAGTTTTATTAGGACTCAGTTCCCCTAAACCCCCCTGTGGGAGTGGTGTGGCAATTTCCCCCCTTTCCTTTTCTTTCACTGGAGGGTAGCAGAGCCTTGTAATACCAGGAAGTCCACCAAGCACCCACCCCACTGCTCCTGCATGAGTGATATGGGTTATTTCAGCCACGCACCATGTCGTCATTGTTTTCTCTACACACACCTCACAGCAAACAACCAGGCAGCCCTGTTTCCTTTCTGTCTAATGGACAAAAAAGTGCAGCTGTCTTCATATCTCCCCATCCTTCACATACTTTGAGTAGTCCTGTACAAATAAAGTCCCGTGGTTGGATCAATCCAAGCCCACCAGGGTTCCCTACCAAAGCCCCCTTCGTGCTGGGCTAATGTGGAATAATATACAGACACCTCTCATGAGTGGGAGACAAATAACCTGGCCCCTACATATCAAAGCCAAAGCCCACTGTGTACACATTTATTTCTTTGATACTAATCCGCACACGGGCACATACTGACTGAGCACTCCCTGAACCAGTCAGTAAAGCCCAGAGAGAAAACCCCCCATCGGCCACTTTTTTAAAACAAACTTTCAACATTTGCACCTGACTGTAACCTCTGAGTGAAAGCTACAGGCAGCGAGTGCTGTGGAAAACATCACTAAAATGGCCAGAGATTTGAATGGAGTTTGGCGCTGCCGGAATAAACTCATCTTCCCTCTTCAATGCAGGGTGTAGCCGGTGTGATTCAGCTGCAAATTACACCACAGTGTTGTTATGAAGCGCTCTAATAACTGGTGATATCACTTTCAAAGAGTTCTCGTACCCTCTACCGTCACCGAGGCCGCCACTGCACCTCCAGACCCCGCAGACAGTGCACAGCTCCTCCCTACGGCAGGAAGCAGGAGCACCCTCCTCCCTCACAACACACTTAGAAATAATACGAGGGTGAGACTGTGGATTGTAATGTTGGCCTAATTCATTTTATGTTCTAAAAATATCTCTAAAGCAGCTTTAATGGAGTCTGGACACCTCCACAGGGGTCGTTAGAGACAGGGGCGGCTCTAGGTAAATATTCATGGGGTGGCAGATATGGTGATTTAATCGCAAACAATTACATATATCAATTGGAAAATCCCCTAAATAAAGATATTTTAATTTAAAAACATTACATTATTGTGGTGCACTCGTAAAGCATTTAATATAAATATTTAAAATAAAAAATAGTGAGGTCATAAATCCAGCTCTTCCTAACCCCCATTTTCAATTTTTTTTTCTATTTTTA